ATAAATAATAAATAAAATAAAAGATTTAGTATCACAAACCTAATTTTTAGAAATAACACATTAAATTTAAAAAAAATTGATTTTTTAGGTTTAGAATGAATTTAGTGGAAGAGCTTATTAGTAGAGAGAGATTTTAAATGGCCTCATTTTATGAACCCTATCTTTAAATTAATATTCCTAAATTTTTGTTAAAGATCACCATGTTATAAAAATAAAAAATATAATTACATCATTTATTCCTAGGTTGTATTAAGAAATACTTGTTGTATTAATAAATACCTTTTATTTTTTTTTGACAATAAATACTTGTTGTATTACTTTTTTTTTTTTACAAGAAAAATATGATACTTATTTTATTACTTTTTATTTTATTTTTTGACAAGAAAAATAAGAAGATGTTGTAGTATGTTTTTATTTTATTTTTGTATTACCTTTTATTTTATTTTTTTGGCAAGAAATACTTGTTATATTACTTTTTATTTTTTTTGAAAAAATAATAAAAAGATGTTGTATTACTTTTTTTTTTTTAAACAAAAAATGCTTGCTGTATTACCTTTTATTTTTTATTTTTTCCTTTTATTTTTTTTAAAAATAAAAATAAAACACTTGAGACACCCATAAGTATCAATAGTGATAACCGACTTCACTACATCACCATATGATACTTTTTTTTCTGTAATAAATGTATACATTATATTGCTACATCAACTCTTATATTAGTTCCACATCGAAAGATGAGTATAAGGATTCTCTCTGTAAATAACTATGGAATAGAAAATGAAGTATGCTCATAAAAGCACGGGGGCGTGAGGTGACCGGAGGTTTTGAGGGTCCACTCGCCCATGTGTAGAGATAGCAGTGTCACCTTGTCCACTCGCCCGATTCACTGTAGCGCGATTCCTCTCTAGACATGCTCGATTTTTGGTATCCTCACGATTCCTCTCTAGACATGCTCGATTTTTGGTAATGGATAGGAATCGACACGAGGTGTTCTCGCGATTCCTCTCTAGACATGCTCGATTTTTTGTATTGGATAGGAATCGACACGAGGTGTTCGATTTCTGTGCATGCTCGATTTTTGGTATTGGGTAGGAATCGATACGAGGTGTTCGATTTTTGTGTCATGCTCGATTTTTGGTACTGGATAGGAATTGACACGAGGTGTTCGATTTCTGTGTCGACCCCAAACGATTCTGGGTTGACTCACCATGCCGATTTTTAAATCCCTGCTTACAACCATTTGATGATTTCCAGTATTGGATAGGACTCGACACGAGGTGTTCGATTTTCGTGTTGACCCCGAGCGATTCCGGGTCGACTCGCAACTGATTTTTAAATCCTTTTGATGTGAAATTTAATAGCTTAGATTTGTCACAAAGTTCGAAATTTTTTTTTTAAAATTTTAAGCTTGGTCAATGGAATAAATGTAATTTCACATATAATGGTCAAGATCAATTGTAACCACCTTGTACCAAAAATAAATGGTCTCATCATATATATATATATATATATATATATAATTTTGTCTCGAAAGTGGAACATTAGCAAGTGCTTAAACTCCCATATCAATTACAGGCTTCTTTCTTGTCTTTTTAATTGTGAAATATTCTCTCTCTCTCTCTAACATCTTCATCCAAAAAAATTAGGATGTGGAAATTGATTTCCCCGTAGTACTGTCTAAAATTCGAAAACTACCATTGGATTGATCTCCACCAAATTTTAACCTTAATATTCAAAGCCCAAAAAATATTCAATCTTATGCTAGACAAATGACTTGACAATGGGATTTCTCATTTGTGTTAGGTTTGGTGGCAACCAAATCACTATATCCATATTTTTTTATAAAGATTAAGGTTATTGTGGTAAGTAAAAAATAGACTTTTTTAAGAAGCAAGATAGTGATATCTCTACAAGAAAGTGAAAAAAGACATAATACCTCAATTTTTTTAGGGTTAAAGGAATGAATATCCAAAGATGGATATTGGTCTCTAAAAGACAGAGGCATGACCTCTGAAAAAGAGGCGGTATTCCCATGAGTTTTGAATTGATTAACTTTCACTTATATAAAAAGAAAGTCTCTCGGTTGCTCTTAAAGTTATCTTTTCAATAGCGATATTGTGATGAAAAAGAATATATTGATCAACGGTGTTGCTCGGTTGGGAAAGCGAGTTTAGAAAGAAAGATCGGTGATGGTTTTTTTCCAATGTTTAGAAAGAGGTATATCTCTTGTAACCCAAAATTGTAATTTTTATTATGATATTGTATTTCTAGTTGCCGAGGCCGTGAATGTAACCCTACAGGGTGAACCACGTAAATCGTGTCTTTTTATGTTTACTTTATTTTTTGCACTCGATTTATAATTGTTTTCATATACTTCGTATTTAGCCAATCATGTACACAATCTTGAGTGAGATCCCGGTATTTGAGAATCTCGATCCTGATAAACCTACAATTTGGTTGAGTCAATTTATATATGTAGTCATCGATCGAGAGACGGGACCCATTTTATACGCACTATGTTAGACTTAAAGGAAGAGTATCAAGGGTAATAAGAGCAATGCACACTATGAAAAGGGCAAAAACAAGTTATTGGGTGATTCCCATGTATAATGGGTCCTACACTAAGTGGCTACACCCGTGAGTGTTTAATATATATTTTCTTACTAAAAAGCTTATTAAAGCCTACCAAAGTAAGGAACGCTCGTGATGCTACACACTTTTGTGGTATGTTAGGCGTGGTTTGAACAGTGTTTGAAAAGTTGAACAGACCGGTAAGCGGGCCGGTTCAACCCGCCAGGTCCCGGTTGGTCAAAAAATGTTAAAAAAACATAAATATAT